AAGGCCGGGTTAACCCCGAAGTGGGGGCGAATCATCAGTGGCCCTGGGATAAGAGCTGCTCTCACCGCAATCAGTGTTCTCTGTGCTTTTAATTGATATCATTGGCCATGATTTTAATTGAACAGTGGCTGCCCATAAACCAGTAAAAATTATCCTTGCTCAGTCGCGTTCCTCAAAACAAGATCGATCGAAAAACTTTGGCATAAAATAAGAGACATTTTGGGTGATTAACCTTATCCTGTTTCATTAATAAGTATTTTTATTCGGAACAACTAAAAAAGACGCTACCAAAAGAGTTAAAAAAAAATGAATACTTTTGTTTGTTTATATTTTAACTTTTTAAATTGCAGCTAAAAAAGTAAAACGTATTCCCAAAGCGGAATTAAAACCGAAGTAATTCGCAGAACATCCTTCCTAGTATTTTTTTGTTTGTGTATGCGCACGTGTCTCTCCGTGTTTACCATGCCATTAATTGGATTATCTAGCGCTTCGTGGCACCACAACAAAATAATTATAATTATTTTAATTTTTATTTTCCCTCATACAGTCATCGCAGCACTTGGGGTAAAAAAAAAAATTAATTAAAAGTTATTATCTTGCGTGTTGCGATCTATCGAAGGCCAATCAATCGATAGCTGCATTGCCATCTTGGCTGCCATTTTGCATGGCATTTATGAGCCACCACCGCCCGCCGTCCACCGTCCATCGTCCACCGTTCATGATTTTCCACCCATTTTCACCAGCCGACGACAATGCAGTTAGATAGTAGGGAATTTTCCGGGCTACTGTTGAACTCATGCTGTGCAGGCTTTTCCATGTGTTGGTCAAATGTGTGTTTGACATTTTCGTTATGTTCGGTGGACAGCAGCGGGTTCGGGGAAAATGGGGGGGGAAATTTCCCGGCGGGGTGGAGGGGAAAAACGTGCGCCATTTAATGCAACCAGCTGCTGATGCTGATGCCTTTGTTGCTGCCGCTTTTTGCGGCATGTCCTGCGTCCTGGCTCCTGCATTTTGCATGAAATTTCTCAAAATTGTGCGCATTTGTTGAGGTTGTTGTTATAATTTAGTTGGAAATTGCTGTCACACCCACACAATCGCCCCACACACCCACACACACACACACATACACCCATACACCCATATACCCAGACACAATCGCTCGACATTAACCCACTGAGGCGGTGTCATCTCAACTCGGATTTAATCTGCAGTAATTTGTTTGATTTCTGTTATTGGCCTGTCACTCGACTGCCGGCCACAAGAAAATCCGGCAAACATTTACCACAAGTTTTCGACGGCGGGGTGGGAATTTCCCTTCCCGTTTTTCTTTGCTCTTTATGGGCTGCCTGAAATTTAATTAATTATCCGAGATTTAATATTGCCTTGTATTTAAAATTTCAGTTTTATTCGCTTTTACTTATGTTTCATTTAATAGAGCTTGTTAAATATTATTTTAAATAAAGCTTGTTAATATTTTATAAAGATTTTTCACTAGGAAACAAATTTTGGCCTTTAAATATTAACATTTTTGGGTTTTATTTTGCTTATTAATTTGTTTTTGTTATGCTTGTTAATTATATTAATTGTTAGTGTTTTGCGCTGCTTGGGGTTAAAATTTTATGCATTTTCAATTTAATTTCGGAAACAAAAAACAAAACAAGTTGGGGGAAAAAAATTGGGGAACCAAGCTCATTCGCTCACGCGCTTTCGCTTGGCTTCAGTTTCAGTTTGCAGTTTTAGCTTTCAATTTGGCAGAACCCCTTTTGACTGGGGGTTCCCCAGCCGCACTGGAATATCCTGCTCGCTTTGCCAATTCCATGGCCATGGCCATGGCCAGTTGGCCAGTTTTGAGTTTTGTCAGTGTTGATAACATTTCAGGCTAGTGAAAAACGAGCAAAACAGCCAAAATGCAACTGGGTGCTGGGAGAAAAACTGTTGAAAATGGGTTTTTGGCCTGATGCAAGTGTAATTTTAGCCAAAACTCCAATTGCGAATTGGATTGCGGCTTATAAGCACGTTTATAAATTACTGATTCGTCTATGTACTAGGTTAGCCATGGTCCATAGTCTGTAGAGCCGTAGTCCGTAGTCCATAGTCCACAGTCCGTAGTCCCAAAGCTGGACCCAGGCTTATGTCAGCGAATGAATAAATTAAATATTCCATCTCCATCATTGAAAATGTGGCCGTGTGTTTATATGTATGTGTGTGTGTGTGTGTGCGAGAGTGTGTGTGTGTGTGTGTGTGCTCGCGCTCTGCTTTAATTAACTTTTTTCGCGTTTGGTTTTGGCAGATTGTGAACTCCTAAAAATTGAATTTCCTCTTTCGTAATTAATTTATATTAAAAACCAATTTTAGAAAGGATGAAGGCATGGCAATCCCGGCCAGAAACTCCGGCTTAGTCCGGCTTAGGCCTTGTCATTTGACCCTAATGCAACAACTGACTTTGCCCCTTTGGTTGATTGCATTAATTAAGCTCAACCAAAAAAATGTATATGTATTATAAAAATGCACAAAAGTATTTAATCCAAAGCAAATACAATTGCTAATTGGGAAATAATTGAAAAGTTTTCCCCCGATGAGTTTAAAAATGCGGGGATTATGAAATCAAAATATGAATATGTTGTCAGCAAACTTCAGGTGTGAATTTCACAACATGCAATTAGTAATAAAACTTATTTTGCAGAAACAAATTAAGTAAGTTCTTAATATTAATCCTTTAAAATTCAAAAAAAGGGTCCCATAGTTTGAAAGCCTTTAATTTAATATTTGCCAAAAAAAAAAAAAACGTAACGTTACTTATCTCATTCCAATTTCCGTTTCACTCTCGAACGGATCCCGAAACTCCCCAACTAATTAAAAAACGCATTATTCAAAGTGCCACAAAAAATATTGAAAATGAAAGGCAATGCCCAAGGGCAGCCAAGTGAGTTTCCCTTTTGGAAATCGGGTTTTTGTTTGGCCGCCGTTTTTATGGGCAGACTGCAGATACGGAGATACAGATAAATTCGCTTTTTCCGGCCTCTCCACGCATCCAATAACCGATTAATAAATATGCGCAAATTTTATTTTAATGCCTTCCTCGTCAGCACGTGAGTTATGACCTGGTTAAGAGTCCTGGCTGCGGCCTTTTGGCCTTTTATGACCTATGGCAAGCCGCCTAAATTGGCAACAAATCGTACGAAAATAGCAAAGATCTGCTCTGTTTCGCTTTTGAATTTTTCGGGCCTTCGCACATGCCGCAAGCAGCAGAAAATCAATTAATTTAAATTTTTATTGCCACACTTGCCACATTAATTCGTTGATTCGCCTCAATTTCTGGGCGAAATGTGTTGCCTGCTCACGCGCATGATTTATGTGAGTCTGCAAAGATGCTCCTAATGGATTATTCATTTGCATGGTGTTTATGTTTTCTTTTGCAGTGACGGTTCCCGAGAGAGATCATAACTGGTGTTAAGTGGATGCCGTTGAAAATTTCAAATAGGAACATGTCTGCCGGAATACAGAATACTCAGCCAGTTGTTGTGCACAACAAAATACAATATTTTTATGTCTGCTTGAAAGTTGTGTTTCCATTCAGAAGCAATATTTTTGAAATGCTTATAATGAGATAACAAATTTCTAATTTGCACTTGAAAATGTTACTTGAAAATATTCTCAGTATCCACTGTTACCAGTCTTATAGGCAAAATGTCCATTCGGAAATCAAACACCTTGCCATCTAAAATTCAAAATTTATGAACTTAACCGCACTTGTCCTGCTTTTCGCCTCTAAAAATACTCAAAGATTATTCGGGCATTCGTTGGTAGCCATTCACGTGTTTATTCTCCGGCCGAGATGTTCCAGCTCATTGGGTTCATTTTTGGCATTAGCACTTGGCATTGTTAAAGCACTTTGAATGGCAATTAAGTGGAGGATGAAAAACATTCTGACCGGCACACGCACAGTCACGGTAATATGCGTAAATACGAGTGCAAACACACACACGGACAACTCAATTTGCACATCATTTAGTTGTGTGAGTTGCTGTGTTGATGTGCGTGTGTGGATGTGTGAGTGTGTTGGTAATTGCTAATTGATTTTGCCATATGCATTAGTTGATACATTTATAATTATGCCTTTCAATTGTCGGTCGCTCAAAGTGCCGGCGACTCGATGAGGCATGAATCTTAATGCAGCACACATTTCTCATTAGGTGACTGACGATTATGATTATTAAGTGTGGGGTGTGAGAAAATCTGAATCTGAATCTGAATCTGAAAGAGCTGCAAAAGTGATCCAAAATTGCCGGCATGGTGACCACTGTGCGTGCGCAAGAACCACTCTAAACTTTATTAATTTTAATTAAAAACACTCGACTCATTTTGAGGGTTAAACGCTTTTCTTCCAGCTTTTCTCTGTGTGTGTCTGGTTTCCATAAGCCGCTGAACACTCCACTGGCCAGCAGGCGGCGAGAGTAGTTAAAAACAAGGAAGCCATCATCAGGAAAACTTACTCCTTTCCCTTTAATCGAGTCCCAGCGAAGCTTTAAACTTCTTTTCCTGGGATTCTTTTACCTTCTCGTTTTTAATACAATATATATTGCATTTATAATAGTTATGCATAATACCATAAACCATTTTTAGAAGGTTAAATAATATCTTAAGACAACAAAACTCAACTATTAGATGTAATCATAAACTCGACGAGTTAGGGCATTCCGAATTTCCCTCGGGAACCCAGAAATATCATTAAAAAATCAGTGCGAAACTTCTGCCCAAAAGGCCTAAGACGTTCTGTGTGTTTCGAGAGTGCAGGGACGAGTTCTCCAAGGAATCGCGAAAAACAGGGGTTGGCCAAAAGCCGAGGGCCTGGAAATCGTTGGCTTGTGCGACTTTTTGTTTATTGTTTTGATGCCGCACGCGGCAGTTGGTCGCTTTCAGCCATAAAAAGCAAAGGTGCGACGACGATAAACAATAGGCGATGGCTCAACCCCCCACCGACAATTGTCTTGGTCAGAATGTACAGCTTAAAAAAGAAATTATCTTTATTAATACTTTTTAGAATAGACAATAAAAAAAAGGGGCTTACAAAATCTTTTACAAAGGGGTGGGTTAGACTTCCGGTTTACTTGGAACTTAAAATATTTTCAACAATTTAAGCAAGGGCGATTTAAAGTGTAGCAAAATTATTTGATTAATCATACAATTTTATCAATTTTGTTCGACCATTTGGACAAAAGCTCGTTAAATCAAACAGATTTTAGTCAGGCACACGCAAGATTTTCAGGCACACACAGGCAGGCACACACTCTACAGACTACAGATGTATTTTTATTTCTCCTATTTAAATTATTCCATTGTGGTGGTTGTAATTGGATCGGCACTCGAACCTCTGGCCAATTTGTTGAGCGGTCCGAGGAGACTCAGCAAAACCGGCAACAGGATCAAACCGTGGGCCGCTCCAACCAGGACAATTAACAGATACATTCGGAAGTAGAAGACCTGGAAGATCTGCGAGTTGGAGAAGCCCAGGACAACGATTCCCGCGAATTTAGTGAGTGTAATGCCCGAAAGGACACTACTTCCTGTCACATTTAGGGAGTGCTGAGCCCGCTCCTGGGCAGTTCCCTCAGCCCGCTTGAAGGATCTCACAATGTGCGCCACGAACTCCACGCCAATGCCGACGCAAACCACCAGATTGACCAGCGATATGGCGTTCAGGATAATGTTCCACGCCCACATCAGTCCCATCATGTTGATCAATATGCAGACTACCATGAAGAGAACGATAAGCGTGGACGTGATGTCCAGTCCAGTGATCAAAAGGGTAACAACAAAGATGGCCAGCAGGGACATTCCGAGCGAAAACATGGCGTCCTCCCAGATCGTGAGATACTGTTCGTAGTAGATATAGAATACGCAGTAGGCAAAGATCTCTGCGTCGACGCCATTCTCCGCAAACATGGAGTTGATCTCCCCCGCGATTCTTCGCACTTCACGCAGCTGCGAATAGAACTCTTCGGAGGTGGTCGACGTTGTGGAGTACTGCATGAAATAGGTGTCCCCCACAGTGGACATTCCCTCATCATCGATGGTGTAAATGACAGCCTGAAAATGGGAGGAAAATAATTAGTTATATTGTTATTTTCAATTTAAAAACCTCTACATACGTCTGCATATGAGGCTCTTCCGGCTTTGGCGCACTCGGCATCTGGCAAATCGAACAGGAAGTACGGCACATACTTGTTGAAAGTCTCGGCATCAGGTCTTAAACCATTTTCTGTAAATGTGCGCTCACAGGGCAGACAATCCTCGCTTTTGGAGTCTATAAATAAAATTTAGATAAATTATTGCCATTGAAAATGATGCTATTCAAATAGTATTAAACCGATGCACACAAAACTTTTAAAGACATCTTTAGAAATATATATTTCCTTGACTTCAATTATTGAAATATACTCACTGCTGGAACAGAATCCGCCGGTGGTCACATTGTACTTGCAGCAATCGACGATGGCCAGCCAATCGATGTAGTCATCTAGCCAGGATGAAGCCGGTCTCGCCAATGCCGTGATTTCCGGATAGCGGGACTGCGTGTACAGCTGCACGGACAGTGAATTGTTGTTGCACTCGACGCCGCCGCAGATGAGATTCTGTTGCAGCGGATCCGAGTAGTTGAGTCCGGGCTTGAGGACCCAGTAAACCGGAGCTCCCATCGCCAGCAGGTCGACCATGTAGCGGAAATACTTAACCACATGCGAGTCCGTGGGCATGGACATCTCCTGATCGAGTCCCTTCTCGATGGAGGGTATTACCATGAGTGAAAGGCAGGTGACTACGGTAAAGACCAGCAGAACGCACACTTTAACGGGCCTGAAATGGAATGAATGAATATGTTTATAGTGCAATGGAATTATCATTGTTACTAATATCATGGGTGATCCCTCACTTACTTGGACAACAGAAAGGGTGTGTAAAAGTTCTTGAACAAGCTCTCCAGCACTCCTGCTTCCTTGGATTTATTCACGCCGTCTTCGCCATCGTTCCTGGCATTCTTGCCACCGCTCTTCACACAGCACAGCATGTCCAGTCTGCCGTCCAAGTAACGCTTCTCATCGATGGCCATCAGAGCCACAAATGCGGTGATCTGGAGCAGAAAGTCCAACAAAAGGGCGGTGGCAGCGTACATGGCGAATGTCTTGACCGCAGGCATATCGGATAGGCAACCAATGGCAAAGCAGGCTATCTCACTGCCCGCCGTCTGGAGAATCGAAGGACCCACTTGGCCAATTGCCTCGCCAATCGCTTCATGGGTGGTTGCGAATTTCGAGTGATCCAGCCTGTGGTACGTGTGCACCATTATGAAGATGTTGTCCACTCCGACGGCCAGCACCAAAAACGGAATCACTTCGATGGCCAGCATTGTGGTGGTTACATTCAGGTAACCCCAAAAGCCCAAGCTGCAGACGACCGAGGCCATAACAATAACTATTCCACCGATGGCCAGCATAATTCGAGATTCTCTCAGGAAGCCACAGCAGCTGCGGATGTGGCCCAAAGCTATGGCCACGTAGACGAACATCACCACGTAACTGATGACCACTGTGCCCACTTCTCCCTCGGATAACTCCACAATGGCATCCTGAATCGATCTTTCGGCCATATAGGCAATATCCAATCGCTCGCTTTTGTAGTCGGCCAAAAAGTCCACGAAGAGCTTCTCCCACTTCATATTGGGCTCCAGTTTGGACTCATCGTTCTGGTTGCGGCCCAAGAAGGTGATCACAAGGCCGGTGGCTAGCATATAATCGGGATCCTCATCCACAGCGACCTTGGGCATTCCACCCACAGCGATTCCAGGCTCAATGGGTCCGCCAAATGTGCCAAAGCAATCCTCCATCATGGGGACTCTGAAAAAATAAGGAAATATACATTAATAATACGATTTCGTTTCAAGGATATTAACCAATCATAATCATAATGCATTTCTAAACTTTGTTATTGACAAAATAATAAATAGCTCACCGCAGACAATCCTCCAACTGATTGAGGTAGTTGATTGTGTAGTTGTTGCTATCGACATAGGAGTTCTCAAATTTGTCCATATCATGCTGGAAATACCCATAGATTGACTGGATAACACAGTGGTCGATTGTGGCCGTTTCTCCGGCCATTAGAACGGGTGCATAGCAGATTTTGTCCAGGCCCTCGTTTTCATCCATTCCCAGTTTCATTATGGCCTCCTGCAGCTCGAAGACTTCCTTCAGGAAGTTGTACTCGAAGGCAGGTCCAAATTGAAGCAAACCACTGGGAGCATCGTGAGTGAACTGTAAAGAACCAACATTTATTATAAGCACTTGAAATCCATTTATCAGATGGTCTATTCATCAGATGATCTTGAAGTGAAATGTCTTGAAAAGGTGCCAGTTTCCTGTGGATTGCTGATGATAATCGATTCTACTTACATAGGTCTGATTAATGGCCTTGATGAACATTTGGTTGGTGCGGTAGAAGGGACCGAAGTGCTGATCAAAGTAGTCCTTCTCGATCCTCGTCTGGCTGTCCTCTCCGGCCCACAGTTCCACGGGGTCCGTGGTGATGGTCATGTAGCGAATGCCATACGAAAGACCAGCAATGGCCCACGAGCAGAGGGCCAAGACCAGAACCGGATGCTTGGCACAAAAGGTTCCCCAGGCGCGGAAGCCGTGGTAGAAGAACTCTCCGAAGAGTGTGGGCATGCAGATATTGGGCGCCGAAGTCCTACCAATGGCACCCCAGCAAATGAATCCCGACAACAGGATGCCGATCACCAGGGCGATGATAAAGGTCACCCCATAGAGTCCGGCGATTTTCCAGAGCTCTTCGGGACCCGTTGGCGCATCGGTCAGCGGACAGGACTCCTCGCAATCGATGCAGGCACAGGCATAGCTGTCCTCGTAGCTCTCGCCGCATTTCAGGGGACTCAACTCGAGGTAGATTTCCTCGGAGCCCTCCTCCGCATCATCCGACCATATGTAGTTGATCTGGAACGGCACATAGTCGCCGCTCACATCGCCCATGAACTCGTACCATCTGCGGTAGTTGCAGGTCTTGGCATTGTAGCCACCACAACCCAGATCCATCGCAGGTCGGCCCGTTTGGGTGTGCTGTATCCCTTCGCAGCTGTTGTAGACTCCCTGCACCGTTTCATCCGAGATTCGATAGTCGATGTACTCCACAAAGACCTGGTTATCCGAATTCGTGGCATTGTAGGCGGTCAAGAAGAGAGTGTGGTTCTTGGCACAGGTCATGGCGCAAACGGTTAATGCCATGTTCCTGGTGCACGTGGGACACCTGGAGAACACACCATCGGCCTGCGAGAGACCCGACTCCATGGTCTCCACCTGGGCAGCATCACAGCAGAGACTCAGTTCGTCCTCGCCACTTTCGCCCTTGTACTCCTTGTAGAGCAGAGGACATCTCTTGGCGAAAATCGCCTCCGCCGTTGGACTATTCAGCGGTCTTGCTGGCCGAGTATCCGCCAGATTCTGCCAGTGGGCACCGATCATATGACTCTGGCCATACCAAATGCAGCCCAGTTCCTCGCTCTGCGACCAAACGCCGGCTATTAGCCATAGCAAGACCAAAATCACTTTCATTGTCACACCGCAAAACAGAAAAAAAAAAAATAGAAAAATAAAAATAATAAATAAAAGTGAAGGCTTGAAGACAGCGAGTTTAACAATTCGCGCCGGCAGCACGCCACTAACTGAAGCAGACGAAACTAAATCCACTGACCATTAACACACTAAATGGTGGGCAGGCTCTATCGAAAATCGGCTGAAGTGCCCCACCGATTAGATTTCCCCGAGTTTTGGGCTCTTTTCTTTTACTGTTTTTTTTTTTTTTTTTAGCCCGCCCTTATCATTCGGCGGCGATAAGCTTCTGAATTCATTTGGATTTTGTGTGGAAGCAGGCTTAATGGGTATGCAAGGGGTCTTATCTTTTTACGCGGATTAAAGTGGGCGCTCACATAGCGACAGGTGATCGGAAAGCGATTAGATATTAAAGGTCAATTCAAAAGATAATACGCTTGGTTTCCGACAAACAGTAGGGGAGAAGTGGGGGTTGTGGGCATGGGTCGGTTGTGGGCACCCCTACGTATATTTTCACAAAATTAAGATTGAATTTTTTTGGTAATGTCATTCGCAAGCAGTTACCCTATGTATGATTTATGCCAAATATCAAAGTAAACGAACGCGTTTGCTTTTTGAAATTAACGAATTGGTTTTTCTTGTGCTTGGAAAAGGTGATGAAACTTTATTCAAAGATTTTCAATAGTGTATCAATTAAAGTGAATCGATTAAAAAGGTAAGTGTAATGCATTTTTATTTAGTCAAAGCATTATACTAAATGGAACAATATCGATTTGAACCAAAAAATTTATGCAAACACATTTTTTAATTACTTCTTAAAATGCCTGCGAAAGTTGGTTGTGGGCACCAAAATTGGGTGGGTTGTGGGCACCCCTTTTTTTTTGGCCAATTTTTTTAGTACCTACAATTTCTTGTAAAATTGTTTTCAAAATTTGTTTGGAACCCTCTAGAACATTATTGTAGAAATCTTAGGCTCTTGGAAAGGGATCCTCTCCCGCTGAGAGGGATTATCACTAAGATTTGAACACTTTATTCTTCATTTTTCATCCGAAATGTGTGGACTTGCGGGGCAGTCATTATACATGTCAAAATTGTATTTCCGATGATGAATAACGCCTATGTAGTCTTTGAAATAAATAAATTGTCATTTTGTTGATATTGGTTGCGGTTTTTTTTTCCATATTATTCCATTTGCAGCATTTTTTTCCCAGGGTGCCCACAACCCCCCCAAAAAAAAATTTTAGCTGAAAATTACGATTTTACAAAAGTCCATATGAAATTTTTTCGCATGACAAAATCAAGTATGTTTCTTCATAATTAGTTAGCTTAGGTCTCTAGCTTTACACAGATACCCATATGTCCAAATAATATGCACTAGTTCGGTAATTATAAGCCAAAAACAAAACTATGCCCACAACCCCCACATCTCCCCTATCTTATTTTTTGTGGTCAGATCTTTAGTTAAAAGCATTAATGTCAATGATAAGGGCTTTCTGGTTGTTAAATAGACATTTCCAAAATGTTTTCTTGGTCAGAGTTGGCAGCTAAAATATTATTAGATTGGGATTTGTTTATTTATAATACAACTTCATTAAACAGTATTGAAGAAAATTGTTCTGAATTTTGTTTTTAATTTTTTTCTTTTTTTTCTTTTATTTTAAGTTTTCTGATGAGTAAGTTGGAATTCTAAATAATTGGGTTATTTTTATAAGCTATGTGTAATAAGCAAAGTGTTTTGTTTTATTTTAAGGTTTACTGCAAAGGTGCACAGTAATCCTTACGAGAAACATTTCTTGCACAATATTATCTTGGGAAATTGGTAATTGGAACCGCACCTGTTCCGACACCTGAGCTTGTATCTTGAGCTTATCGCTGGGTAAATTGGCCGGGCTAAAAAGCAGCTGGCTCAGCTGGGCGGAATAATAAAATCGCGATCGCCTTTTTTCTGGAACACCTGTTCCCTTGTTCGCTGATAAGTTGAGAGGCCCTCTCGAGACCCGCGACTTTATATGCTGTAAACTTTATATGGCTCGGCAACGTCGGCGTGTAGGTCTTAATCAACTAACAAATCGCCGCCGGATGAGTGATTCATTAAGAAATGCCAGCCACTACAAGTAGCCCGATTCTTGGTCGAATAGTAGGCAAATCGGTATTGGTTTTTTCATAGAAACAAATGCTTCGTTCTTGGAAATGTGCAATTATTAAGATTAGGTTGGTTAAAGCTCTCAAATTCTGATTTTTCCAGTCGCCAATATATGAAGTACCAGGAGGGACTTTATAGTTTTATTTTGATGTATTTCTTTTTATTCTATTTTAACGGAACACAGGAGATTTGGTTGACTTTTCAAATAGCAAGCAACTCATTTGCTTGATTTTTGTGAAAATCCAGTCAAATTTCAAGTTTTCAAAATAAATCAGTTCACAGGAAATGGGTAAAAAGTTCTGCTATTCGGAGTTAACGGCAGTAACTCAGACGGCTCCTCGTATAGAAAATGGATCGAGTTGCCGCCAAGGAGGTAGGGATCAAAAGGATCAGGATGCCGACGAAGAGGAGGATGGAAAGTCTGGAAACCCACCACAGAGTTCGTTCTATGTCTCATTAATTCACCTTTGTTTATTACGGGTATTTTATTAATAGGAAAGGAAGTGCTGGGTAACCTGGCCAATGGCTACTTGACACTGGTTCATCACGTACAGGCAAACCTTTGCCCTCCACCAACTTCTGTGGTCAAAGCTGAGGAGAAGAAACGCGAGGTGGGCGGAGAGATCCCCGAAAGTCCGCGGACCGAAGAGGAAATTTCGGAGTCTTCGGAGGATAATACGGGTCCGAAAATTGGATTTGTGCATTTGTTTCGGCGCAGTCGACACTTTGAGTGCTTGGGAATTCCCGTAACTCCCTTGGAAATTTTCTCCATGGAATGCCAGAAAGAAGATGAGCCGAAAGAACGAGTTTTGGGTGGAGTATCCAAAACTGAACTGGACGGATGTGATAACCAGAAAGAATTTCAAAGAAGCCTTTCAAAAACGAAAAATCTGTCAACTCCGAGAGCGATGGAAAAACTTCAAAATATTCGTTGCCCAGATGAACGGAAAGAAAGAAAAGTTGAGCTTGAATGGAAGTTGAGAAAATTCCCAAGTGGAGTTTTAAAAAAGTATCCACATCCAAGCCCTTCAAATAGATTGCCCATCAAAAGATCTTCTCAAAATCAAGCTGAACGACATGTTCCATATTTTAAATCAGCTTCTAGCTCCTTTCAAGTACCAGAGAAAAGTCCAAGCCAAAATTCTTATGGTGAATTGCCAGCTCAAAATTCGGTTACATTTTCTGAACAATCTAGTAGTCATTATCCTATAAAAACTCGAATACCAGCTAAATTCCCAGTTCAATGTACAAGCAAGTTCCAGAGACAACCGCCACCCACTTTTGTGTCAAGGCAAAGTAGCAAAATTAAATTCCCAAGCACAGATATTCAAAATAGTTTGCCCAGAAGGAATTGGAAGTTCAATGACAGAGGTTCAAGAGAACCCAATGTATGCGAAAAATCTTTTCGAAAACCTATAGAAGTTGAAGGATCTAAGAAGTATCTATCGAATACCAAAAGGAAGGTTTCCAAAATGTCTTTTTGTCCCCGGTTCACACCTTTCTTGCCCGAAACTAAACTTCGTAGAACAACTCAAAAGAATTCCTTCAAAAATCAGAAAGCCATTCCAAAAGATTTAACATGGAAAACGATATTAGCACCCAGGCCTTTCGAAGATTTTTGTAGTAGTGGTAGTGAGGAGATGCCGAGCAGGACTCATATGGTACGTTTCAAGGAGACAAAAACTATCGATCCCGTGAACAGTTCGCGGTTGGAAATGACCCACAAACGCTGGATGGATCTTCTCAAATGTGAACCCAAGAAATCGTGTCTAAAGGAATCGGGCGTGGGCTTAAATAAACCCTATTCGGAGCCACTGGTTCCTTTACATTCCAACGTTACATTTACCGAGGTGTGGAAAAGATCTGGATTAAGCAAGGTCAATAAGAAACACGAGGTACGATTTGGTGGACTTTATAGTCGGGCCGACAAGCTTAAATTCCAGCCGATCGATCGACTTGATGCTGGCTGTGGGGGAAAACCGATATTTGCTGAGTCCAAAAAAGTTCTGGAGAGGATCCAGTACTTTGCAAGCGCATTCGATCAACAGAGTCACACGGAAAGGATGCAGGATATTGAGTTGAGAATGTGTCAGTTGCGTGTGCTGCAAGCCACCTCGGATCAGGAATATCACCGGCATTTTATGCAGCAAAAAAGGTTCTGCAAGCCAGTGCTGATTAACTCGACAAAGTGTGTTTGTCCTTTAGATCACGACGACTGCTCGCTTGTGACGAATGCCACACTTTTGCGACACTTTGTTACCCAACATTTAAACGAATCCGAAATCGAACTGCGCGAGATCTTCGAGGGCGATCGTGTGCTAAGTATCTTCGATCCCAAAGCCTTTCTGTTGGGCAAAAACGATTGCATGTCCGTGCTCTTGTACGGAGGTGTGCGAAATGAGCCCTCCACTCTGCCCGTCGCCAGATTTATGCCCACCGAGAATATCCATTTGCCAGAAGACTACGCCCATTTCTCCGGACACTTGCCCCTGTTTGTGATGATTTGCAGGAATCGCATGAGCAGCGTTGAGGGCAAACGGGTGCGATTCGAGGGACTGGACGATGAGGAGGTCCTTGTCTTGTGGATGGCCAGCATGGATCTTCCACATCCCATTCACGTTATGATGACTGTACTCAACCGGCGGCTGGACTTCACCAAAACCGCCATCATGAAGGTGAGAGGAATCCACAAGTCACACGATTGCCTGGACTTTATGCGATCGAGTAGACAATATATGCGATTATGCGATCAGGACTTGCGGGTCCTCACCAACGATCATACGGAACCGCTATACATGGAGCTCTCTGTGAAGGAGTACGCCGGTATATTTCCCTGTCAGGATTGATCAAGTTGGGCTTATTTCCTATTATGTAAATAATTTCAAGAGGGGGAGCTTTGAAATCTTTTGTAACGTTTCATACCAACAATCTATGGACAGGTTTTTAAAGAATTTTTTTGAATATATATTATTACCAAGCCAAACAATTACTAATTCCTATCAGTTGGAAACAAAATTAGATTACTTGGCTTAGTCAAAACCATTTCCGAGTTCTTATCTTATCAGTGCTGCAAGCCCTCAACTAGTTGGTTCTTTTAAACAGTGTTTCTTTAAATGGCAATTATCGTTTGTTATATTTTTTATTAGTTTTTTGTAATTACTTGTTAGCTTTCAACAATTCAACAATTATTTTATGCAGAGCTTTTTTGATTTCTGATCGCTAAGGAGCAGACGATCACTTTGCAGGGCAATTACAACGTCTCTTGCTGATTACTTTCGGCTCTTAAAAGCTTTTTATTTAATCTCACTAAATGTTAAAAGGCTGTTAAGGTATCTGTCTCACTTTCTCCGTTCGCTCTCTCGCTTTGCGGAGGCATTTTCTCTCTCACTGCAGCAGCTGCAAGCTTCTGGTTTTATTTATTTTTTATTTGCCAGCCCAAAATGCTATTGAACTCACACGCACGCACACACACATCCAAAACTCATATACTCTTGCATACGGGTTTACTTACACACACACACACACAAAATGAGAGCCATACACACATACACACATAGAGGGAGGAATATCATGTATTTAAATTACCAAAAAAAAAGAAATAAGTAACAAAACAAACAAATTTAATAGGATTTAGAACAAATGTGGAAAATAATAATGGCAATTTTGAGATAAACCTAAAATCGGCCACCCACTGCAGGACCACCCAACGCAGAACCACCGGGGACACGTGTCCTGAAAATCCAGACCTACATCAACAAAAGCAGGAGCCCCTTTTTACGAAAACCGAATCCCGATTCCCGAAGCCGAAAAACTCGTAATGCGCCGCTGCAAAGCTCTTCCCCGGTAACCCCGATTACCCCAGGGGAACCCTCATATCATTGCTCCCGTTTTTGTTTCGGGTTTTCGGCCTTTTCCCTCCGCTCCATTCCAGGCGCATTTTCTGGAAAATTGTGTCAAGCTGACGACACAATTTTCAAATCGCATGCCCGGAGTTTTGCACATTGCAGTTTTCCGGCTGCAAGTCGGCAAAATGTTGCGCTGCTGAGCGAATCGAGAGCGGCAAAATCGCAGTCATACAGACAGTGAGAGAGAGAAAGAGAGAGAGTGAGAGAAGTGCCGTTCTTTTGCCGGCATGCCACACAAAATAATAACGGTACAGTAGCCCAACAGGAAGTGGTGCATTAACACGCGCCGCTTTTTACCTCGAAAATTCGTGCTAAAACCAACACAAAAAAGAAAAGTGGAAAACTTCGCGTAACAGTAAACAACAAAAATATTTTAGACTGTTTGTTTGTGTGTTTCTGTGTGTGTGTGTGTGTGTGTGTGAGGGAGTGAGTTGGAGTGTGTGGAATGCGGCATTCGATTGCATCACCTAAATAAAGCAGAAACAAAAACAAGAAATGCTTTGTGTATATTTGTGAGTGTGCATGTGAAAAACTATAGGCAATTTCAAGGATTTTTTTATAACATAAATTTATTTTAAAATTGTATGTATTTTTTATCTCATTTTTTGTAAGTGTTGCTGATTTGTTAAAGTTAATTTAAAACCAAGTAATGAACAATGTTAAAAAATGAACAAAAAGGAGAGATGTGTTTTGACGACTTTAAGTTTGATTTTCACAAGCCTTTGAAATATTTATAATTAAAATATAGTTTGTGCTACTTATTAAATTAAAAATGTGTTGGGAACATACAGCCTAATAAAAAATAAAGTTTTTGCATAAGTCCAATAAGTTAATTTTGCAATTGTGCCAAAAGTAATTTTAAATCACGTCTATTTTTATTTTAAGTTTTTAATTTTGTAAAAAGCTTTTGCAGCATGCATCCACATAAATATGCAATATTTTTGTTAACCGCAAAAAAGGCAAAAACCGGCTAGGCCAAAAACCTCACAAAGGACGAAGAAGCGAGCGAGAGAGGGGCAATGAAAGATAGGGAGAGAGAGCGGGAATGGTCGGGTCGGAAAACGTGAAAAGCACGTGCAGCACGAAAAGCGACGGAAAAGCGGCGAAAACTTTTCGGTGTGAATGCCTTCTGCACAGACACAAAAACGTGTTTTTTTCGGCCATCGATGTTGACTGCGCTGCCGGTGTTAACAGCGTTGCAGCTGCGAGCGATCTCTGTTAACTGGTCCAAAATGTTAACGGCCCTACCACAAGCATGCAGCTTTTTCAGTTTCTGTTGCATATCCTCAGGAGCTCAGGACACTTGGTGTGCGTTTTCGAGCAAAAAAATATGCCAGAGAAACAGCAAAACAATTGTTTACAAATATAATTATAATTATAATTATATTAATACTAATAATGAGAAAGGTATCCTTTTGTTTTAATGAACAAGAGTACTTGGCCTGTTTTTTTTTTATACGTTTGTTTTCTTTTTAGTAGTAAGATTATTTTTGTATAAAAAAGTGCATAAAATTTTCAATACCAATTCTCTTTAGGATGGTTTTTAAGAAGCATATAAGCCCAACAAATACTACATTTAAGCGAATCGACTTTCTATTTATCATGCATACTTTCTAAAGTAATAGGTAATCAGTTTGATTTATAATATAATGAGTCAATTTTTAAAATTTGACAATATTATTTTGTGTTATAACACTGTTATAATTCAAAAATTGTTTTATCTTTTTAAATATCTAACTCACTTGATTGTGTTTAAAATTGTTTCCCCCTGCTACAACTACTTCTCCCTCCCTGTCTTATGCTAACTGGTAAAAAAAATTAGCGCTTCAATGTAGGCAATTTGTCAATTACTGATGGCAATGCAGCAGACGCACAACAACAAAACGAACAGCTGCAGCAGGAGTACGGTGCTCTCTTTAGTGCGCCTTCTTTGAAAAGCTCTGCTCTCCCGCAGGAAAGAGCGCGGCAGCGACGTCGGCAGAGCGACGCGAAGACACTTCGTAACGTTTCGTGTGGCAGTCGAACACACTGCCTTCTTGCTCCCACTCACTCCCGTTTACCGCAATTGTCTGTCTGCCGAAGACTTCGGCACAACTTCGGGCGGTGCTTCGGCTGCGCTGCCGACGTCGACGGCGCCGTCGGCTTTTCAGCTGAATTTCGTTTTTCCGAATTTCCCTGCAGCAAAAACAGTTTCCATTTGTTTTTCCGCGTGTTCGCACACGTTCACGGGTCTGCGTTTTGGTTTTGTCTTTTTAGATTCTCACATTCTCCACCTGCCACACATTCTCACTTCCTTCCAAATTCTCCACAACTCTCTTCTTGCGGCTTTTTTTTGGCAGCCGAAACATCGTTATTGCACGGCGTGTGTGTGTGTGTGTGTGTGTAAAGGATTCGAATAGCTAGAGTTCGGATTATCTGTTTTTGAAGTTACTTTCGAGGTTCTGAAAATAGGCATTTTAAATTTTACTATCGCGAATTTCCATTTAAAATTGAAAGTGAGCAAGATAATTTTCTAAGGCAGTCCTTAGCATACTCATTCCTGAAAAAATTCCAAAGTATTTTTGTTTTGAGTAAGATCGAATTTAAATATTTCAAGATGTTATGATTTTCATTAGGTGGTTATTTTCTATCTGAATCATAATATCGTAACATTAGAATTTATTTATAAAGTTTAAAATGGTATGACAGAGTTTTATAGTGAGTTAAAGTAAATCGTAAGACTCAATAAAATGGTAAAAACAGTGCTTCTTAAGACTTATCACATTACAATTCAAAAGAAACATATTTTTTCTAAAAGCTTTGTGAATTTTTAATTATTAAAGTATTTAAAAAAAAAGTCAATTACAAAACCAACAAAAGTTAATTTTTCACAAAAGAATCATTTACGATAGATTTTGTTTCGGAATACAGCTCAAATCTTTCCAATGTAGAAACATAAAAACCTGTTAATTTGCGTACAACTTCCAAAATCAAAGTTTGATTTTGAAAAATTGAAGTTAAACTTTAAGCTAGGAATTGCAGTTTGGAGAGAACCGAAACTCTCCATAAGTTGCAACTCCGCAGTGCCTACTTCGACTCTCTTGCTGCCGATGCCGCAGCTTGCGTCGCTGCCGCGTTTTGCGTCGACGGAGGCAGAGACGTCGACTGCGCCGCAGAGCAAAACTGAATCAGAAGAAGAAAAGTCGAGGAGTCGTGTCGAGATCGAAGCGCCGAACGGAACGAAACGAACGGAACTGAACGGAAGTGCAGTGCAAAGCGGAAACGGAAGCTGGAGCAGTATTCCCACTTAGTGCTTGGCACGCACACAGGCTTACTCGCACACACACTCTCTACCGAACTCACACGCACGCACACACGTGCGTTTGGCGGGTTCCCCTTTTATTGTTATTTATAATTTACAAAACGCGTGCTGCAAGCGATCGACTTTTTTTGCAAATTTTTTTAACGTGCTCTCTTTTTATATACCAAAAAATACAAAACACAAAAAATAAAAAAAAAAAACAAAATATATAAAATAATAAACAACAACCCAATACAGCAGCGAGAACAACAACGTGCGGTGTTGTGAGCTTGCCACAAAATCAAATGAAAGTCCAACCGCAAAGTAAAGCAAAGAGAAAGTCGACAAACGTGGCAATATGCAGTGCGTGTGCATAGAAAAACCAGATATACAGCGGCCACAGGGTAAAGTACTTTGGACAAGTGAAAAATCCCTCAAACGCCAGTGAAAATCGAAGGAAAAACCAACACAACTGCATACGCAAAGAAAATCGCTGGAAAACCGGACAAAATGTTTGGCAGCCAAAGTGGCTGCCTTTGAGGCTGAGTGAGTGGCTTAAGGTGTGTTAACCTATGTCTATTTATATTTGCTTTCTAATGATCGAAAATAAAACATCAGTGTGTTTACTCCTCATATTTTGTGTATTTTTCTTGACTTTTTATGAGCTTAGTCCGCTGATTTGTGGCCAATTTTTGGACCGAACACTTCCGTTTATAAATGGATATACGCGCTGATTGGAATGGCCTATTCCATCTGCCGAAATCAAAGAAATTTTCATGGAATTTATATATTAGAACAGCAGTATTTTTTCTCTGGCTTACCCACGGCAAAAGTATTCAAATAAAAGAATTCCATCCCACTGATGAAGTGCGAATGAGGCAACTATTTCTTTTAAATACCCATTTGTTTATCTTTTGTTCAATAATAGAAAATGAATAATTAAATAAACGGAAAACACTTATAAAAGCAATTGCTCATAGGGCAAGTTTTATTTTGGCTTATAAGTTTACTGACAGATATTTAAGACAAAAAAAAAATATTGAGAAAATTTTTAATACTTGTTCAACAATTATATTATATTATTATATTTTTTTCTAGCCTTGTATATACGAAAAGCGATAAATTATATGGGCTTAAAAATCTTTAAAACACAAAAAACTATTATAAAAAACTCTTTAAAACTTTTTCCATTTAGCTCTTCTTTTTGTAAAACAAACAAGTTTATAAACAAACTCTGCCGTCAGCTGCCGCCGCGGACACACATAAACAAATTCAAAAAACATCCAAGCAAAATGGGGAGCAGTTACAATATTTTCTAAAATAAATACTGAGTTGATTTGATGATTTGTTCATGTCTTTCGGCATCTTTGCCTGCTCATCGCTCATTGAGAACCTAACGAACCGCAGCGGGAAAAACATTTCAAGATCTCGACGGTCTTTTCCTAACGGTCTATTAATAATTTTGATGCATTGCCATCTCCGTCTTGTTCTTCCTATTGTCCAGATCGCTCTTACGCTAACTTAGAGGGCTTTGGGCCTTTGATATACGACTTCTTCGACTTTTACTGCAAATTAGACAAATTCTTTTATGTTTGCGGCCGGAATTTGGCTAAAATGCTAGCGCAGCAATTTATTTAGATAATTCCTAACAGATTTATTATGCTGATCAAAGAACGATTTCCAAATTATTTGGAAGTCGTTTTTATAAGACATCAAATTTGATCTTGAAATACTACATTCTACTTTATCGTTGTGTACGTCGATTTCATAAAGCCAAGCTAAATGTTTTGATATATTCGGAATTGTTAGAGGAAAGCAGGTTAAGTCTTCGAAAGCTTGCGTTTTTTTAATGAATTTGAAAAAAACTTACTAAAAGAATGATTTAATGGTTTGCATTACAGTTTATTTAATTCTATTGTATCTACCAAAATCCTTTTACAAAGAAAAAGTAGTTATTCATCTAGCCTTGTCATGATATTTTAAAAAATGATTTCCCATTTCGTTTGTCCAGCTCGCTTATAATAAAAACAATTCTGTCACATCCATTAATGCTCGATTGGAAAATTATTCAGAATTTCGCAAAGAAATGGCCTCTTGGCTTCCTCCATCACGAATAATTATTGTCAGGGGCTTGCTCCCTCTGCGTTCTCCATTTCCACGCATATATGCGTGTTTCGAAATTGGTTCCGCACATTTTGCCATATTAAATCATCAAAATGATGAAAAAAACAGTCGCATCAAAATGGCCAGAAAAAATTAATGCAAATGTTGGCGCTTTCGCATTTAATATGCAGCAATAACAAAAAACGGTTGATAAAGTAAAAAAACACAAGCGGAGCAAAGTTGAAAAGAAAAAAAGCAGTTAAAATAATTGTGCAATATAATGACATATGAAATTTCATTTCAATTTTGTTTTTGCATCTTTTTATTTATGTATATAAGCCGAAACAACATAGCGGAGGAAATCATGTCCATAAACTGAAAATTGTCATGCAAGAAAAAAAACTACACACACTTCATGAACAACAAAGGCAGCAGAACGAATAAAATAAAATAAAAAAGGAATGCAACTAAATGGATAAAAATATTATAAATAAATTAAAATGAAATAAATTTAGTCAGAGCCAGCATCATCAAATGGTCAGGCGAGCAGAAGAAAAATTGTCAGAATCGTAATCAAAATGTTCCTGTACAGGGTAATTGTGAAAATTGTGCGAGTGTCTGTTTTGAAATTGAATAATTGCGCAGCTCATTTTTTGTTTAGTTACTTTATCAAAAAATATTTATACATATCATATTTATTTTGATAGCAATGTCATATTCACAGTTAAAATAGTTTTTATATAAACAAATACAATTAAGCATTTTTCTTTACACTTTCTACTTATAATTTTGGTAACCAATAAGTCGAGTTCTTGTGACAGAATTCATTTTAGTTATTGTCATTTCTCGCCTGACCTAATTTAGGAGCAGGAAAACGGAAACAAAATTGCTGGACAAAAAAAAAAAACTCATGACAGGATAATAAGGGAAAAGGGACGTGGAAAACGTGTCGCATATTTGTTGCTATAATTTTTTAAGCCTGCTAAAAATCCATATATAGGAGCACACTGCATAATGGCAAATAATGCGGACTGAAAACAAAAGTGACTTCCTTTATTGTCGTCTCGACATATCCTTCCATTGTTGGTCTGAGCTTCAGCTACGGATTTGGGCTTTAGATTGTTGGTTCTGGGTTTTGGGTTTTGGGTTTTCGGGTCCTGCGCCTGGCCTCATTTGTCCTAGTTTAAATGGTCTTTAGGTCGCGCATTAAACCATTGCAAAATTTTGCATACATGCACACATCCAGCTCTCTCCGGCTTTCTTTGTATTGGTAAGCTTCGATGTGTGTGTGTGTGTGTTTCTTTGTGTTTGTATTTATTTGTTTGCTGTTGGCTTTGATTTGGTTTCTGGCCTGGCCTGCTATCGCCATCAAATCAGGCACACAAACATAATTGTCTCTGTGTACGTGCTTGTGTGTGAGTCAGTGTGTGTTTGTGTCAGGATCTTCGTTCGATGTATGAGAGAGTATCTGTGTGTGTGAATGCCAGTGTAAATAGCAATTACAGGCCAACCACCCGCGACCCCTCGGCCCATCGACGCTCGATGTGTTAGGGTAAATATACATAATCAAGCGAATGCCCCAAAAACGAAAATGCAATGAGGCAGCGAACAAAAAACTAAACAAATTCAATTTTTACACTCGCCAAACAACAACACCAACTGGAGTTCTCTCTAAGAAATTCTCCTAATAATTGTATATAATTAAAATAATCACATTTAATCACACATTACTATTTTAAAGATACATTAAAATAGTAATCTTGCAAAAAAATTATTTTGAAAAATGTTCCTTAGTACGGGTATTGGTAACTTGTTGTTTTCTAGGGACAAGAACATTGGTTGAGTATTTTGTGCCGTGCTGCAAGCCAACAGCAACAATGTTGCACTTAAGGTTCGCCTGCGCCCATAAGTATGCTTCGATAAGTGCGACTGAGCGTGCCTCGTGGTGACGATGAATAGCGTGGAAAACTGGGTGGCTAAAGAGACGAGTACATAACGATGCACTAACTTAGTTAAAGTGCTTGAATGAAGATGGGAAATTGTCTAGCTAAAAATAGAATACCCAACGTACTTATCTATTAAAGTAGCTAATGTTTAGAGAGGAGTTGGATTTTATGTTTAAGTGCATATAGATTTCTTTTTTCTTTATTTAAAAATCAGTTCTCACTAAACTAAAGCTTTGGAAACGGTTTTTCTATACATAAAATAATTGTTTTTATAACCCCAACTTGCTTCTCCTTAAAGTTGTGCTACCGAAACTCCTAGAATTAAAATTCTGTCCATTAACTTCAGCGAGTGGCTTCCATAGAGTCAAAATGAAAACACAGAATATTTCGTCCAGCCAAAACCGCGCGAAAGGGTCGCGTAAATGGGGTTGGTTCTCTTCTCTTGCCCGGACCCATATGCAAATTGGTGAAACTAACTAAATCAGACAAGTAAAAACACAAAATTTAATTACATAGTTTGGAGCACAGCGATGGAGAAGGGTGCTTTTGGCATGTATAGTACAGCGAGACATAGACAGACGGCGCATTACACAATATTTATTTAATAGCATGCCTTTTCATACATATAACCGCCGCCAATTTATGTCGCCCAGAGTTCTTCTTCTCCGTCGTATCCACCACCACAAACACCATCACTCCACCACCCCATAACTCCCCAAACCACCCACTGAACTCCGCCCCGTGACCGAGATTCAGAGCTGACGATGACGATGACGACGATGAAGTCTCAACCCGTTTCGGTTCGGCCAAGAAGAAGTTCGACTTTTGGCTTTGTCTTGAAAACGAAAGCAGCCCGGAAATGTTTGTGCCGGCCCCATCGTATATAGTAACTACTTAACTGTACTAGACCGTATATCAAACGCTGGGGAGCGGGCAAAATGGCAGTGGAAGGCGCGATGTGTGCATACATTATGCAGTCACCTCTCCGCGGAGACCGGAACACGCGAAAAATCTTCAATACTTTTGCAAAGGAAAATAGAAGCTTATTCTGTGAGGAAAGCCAAAAATTTAGAACAAAAATTGAAGAGTTATAAGAGATATAGATTTAGATGGGAATAGGATTTTAAGAATTGGTTTTTAATGTTTTTAAATTATTTGTATTAGATATAAATTTAAAAATGTCGGTAAAAGCGATTAAATTAATTTATTTGACATTTTTTTTTAATTAATAAAAGGTTTCTTAAGATGATTTTTATTATGTCAACTAACTATAAACCTAACTAGACTCTTTATTCGTTCAGTGACCTGTCTCAGTCGGCAGCTATTTTTTTCTTTTCTTCGCTGCTCCTTTTGCGCTATCTCTTACCAACTTTTCGCTTGCCTTTTTGCGATTTCGCTTTAAGTTGGCTTTAATCACGGCCCGCATATGCATGGCGGTATATGCAATGGCACACAGATATGGCCATATGCATAAGGCTTATATATATTTATGTATATATGTGCAGATATATATGTATATTTATATATGTATTACCTAGAAGTCTGACAAGCCCGATTTTCCACTTCTCCGGCACTCTTCTGTCTCAATAACTTTGGGCTTTGCATTTTCGTTACGTTTCGTATGCAATTTTCGCATTTGTCTATCCCGCTCGCACGCCGGATGGGCGGTAAAAATGGGGCGGCGGGTCGGTGGGCGGTGGTCGGTGGGTTGGTGCCACGCCCCTTTGCTCGCTTGTTAAATAGCATCCAAAGTTGCTGTTGTTGTTGTTGTTGTTGTCGATGGTACGTGTTGGGAATGTAGGACATTGTTATGCAGGCAGGCAGCACAAAAGGAAGAGCAAATGAGTGCGACAGAGGCGGGGATAGTGGGCGGCGGCATGGCGAAGGGGGGAATGGCAAGGAGGGAGTGAAGGGGGTGGGTTGGGTGGGGGGTAGTGGCAGGAGTAGGCCAGCCGCATGGCACGAAATGTGCAACACAAAAGTTTTCGTCATTATTGGCTTATGAGGTGAAATTTATTGCAGCATAATTCAATGGAAAGCGGCAACGATCGCGTCTCCCCCTCCCTCCCCTCCTACTTCTGCGGTCCATTTTTTGTCTTCGGGTCAACCAACATGCAATAAGATGAAGTAAATAACATAAAATAATATAGTTTTTATACAAAACATCAACAAAGAAAGGGGAAAACAGGCGAGTTTTGATAATGAGTTGTGTAAAGGTACCCAATAATTAAGTAGACTTGAATTAATTTTTAAACATTTTTATTGTATTTGACTAATTATATTCTTTCCCTTTTTTCTCATTACAGCACGAAGACCTTTTTTAAGAAAAAAGCCTACAGGAACTAAAAAACTTTCAAATTATTACGAGAATCTTCTATATTTGAAACATTTTCAAATTCAAATTTAAATAACTTTATTCTTAATAACCTAATTGATAATTAATTACATAATAGTAAACAATGCTCAAATAGACTGAAATAGAGTCCAAATATATTACGAAAGTAAAATGCAATTAATTCAACATATCATATAAATTAATTAGAACAAATTGCATTTAAGTTATTAACAAAGCAAAAGCAAAACCAAACAAGCGAATAATAATTACACAAAAACAAAGGCCAGCAAAACCAATGAACAAAAGTCAAAAATACACAGAAAAAAGCAATAATTAAGTGAACAAAAAGAGATCAAAGTGTAAAAAGTGTGTGGTGGCTCCATCGCGAAGAACCAACAACCTTTATTATACTGTATAATTCAATTCATTTTAAATTCGCCGTTTAGTTCGCGTTCCAAGTAAATTCAATACACAATAATGTTAATTCCAAAAGCCAGAAGTGCGGCGACATAAATGGACCATCAATCGTAGAGGCAGCCGAAAAGAAATCAAGGTAAATAAATAGATGTTCGCCTAAGATCTGCGGGATTAATTGTAGCAATTTTCTGGAATTTAAAATATGCAATGGGGGGCAGATTTTCTGGAAAATGTATGAGAGGTCATGGCATTGCCCCGCTATCTTGCCTCTCGCTCGTTTTATTTTCAACAAGTGCCTGTGCCCCTTGGAGTCTATTCTTAGACAAATGTTTCTTTTTATGTCTGGTTGGTTTCTCCATTCAAATTGTCTTTATTTATTTGTTGTTGTGCCCCGTTTGTTTGTTTGGCTCCTTGTGAAAAATGATTTCTTAATGAGTCGCAACTGTGCGGTAGATTGCACAGAAAAAACTCCCCCAAAAATATTTTTGGAATAGATTGGCATAGATCATCGTGAGTATTACGCTGACTAATAAGCGTCTAATGAGTGAAAGACGTGAAAAATGCCTATTTTATGATGAACATGACTGAGATTTTAATGAATGAGGAAAATAGTAATAATAGGGGATAAAAAATAGATCCAAGTCAGTAGTATTAAATTGAAATATTGTTTTTCCTTGAAGGTACTTTAAGTTCCAGTTGGTCAGTTTATTGTGAAAAATCTGTAAAAATGTCACTTGCAGCTGTGGAAGCCAGATGGCAAAAAACCACAAAGTAGAAAAAACCGGGGGACGTAGAGATTTTCGTGAAATATAAGTGAAAAATCAAAAATATTCTCACATGCCGAAGAGCACACGGCGCTTCATTAACATCATTCCACTTTCGTAACTCAATTTGGTAGCTGAAAATTCGTGGCACATGTGCGACAGCTCAGGAAACAAGCTAATTCCAGAATCAGAATCCAACACGTATATATATATCTCAATACATACATATATATATACATGGGAAAACGCTGACGAAGCCAAACCAATTTCAGAGTTGAAAAATTGAGGGAAAAAAATCATAAAAAAAAGGGGGAATGATTTCTCTTCTTTGTGGCCATTCATCGGGATTCATTCATAGAGCAATCAGACGAAGGATGGTCGGGGGTTTAGCACTAATCAAATCAAAGAGTTCGAAGGAGCTGATAAAACACTTCCGAAGGGGAAGGCAAACAAACAAATACGAGACAGGAAATAAGGAACCCAAGGGACATTTTTCTTCACTCAGTGAGTGAGACAGAATCAAAAAAAATATCTGAACTAAATTTGGCATTTAAAAATATGAATCAAAAAATAATTTTATGTAAGATTTTGTTACATACTAAAAAAATATTGGTTTCTCTTAACTCTTTGGCTAAATTCGAAATAGTTCGTTTATGAAACAGCCTTCCATGTTTTTTCTTCCCTTGTCACTCGGCGGCTTGTAAGATTTTCCAACAGCTTCACGCCCACTCTGGCCAACTGCGACCCCCCGCCCTAAACATGTTTTTCACTTGACTGGAGGGCGGCAATAAATACAAAAAAAATCCCTCCTTTCGAGAACAACACATATTGTTCAAGTTTCGAATCGAATTCCAGGAATGAAGTGGTCCGCAGATAAATTAAATAAGATTGGCTGATTTGTGAGTTTATGGATTTTATGGGCACTTAATTACATTTCCTAGGAAACAACTTTATTTCCCAATTTTTCTGAAGACTTCAATACGCTTTTATTTCTAGGGTGGCAAACAATTTTGTTTAAATTTCAAAATGTTTTTTTTTTTTTGAAAATGCCTTATATTATTTGCTTTAAAATTAAGATGTTTTTTTTTTTAATAAAACACATTAGAAAATTCTTCTTTGGTGTTTGGCCTTTTTGTTTGCCATCCAATTTGTCCGCCGGGGGAACACCACCAATGTCGTGTGAAAATTCCTAGCATGTGTCCCCTTTTTTGTCAGAGGGCGTGGCACTGAGTGTTGATGGATTTTTAGTTGTTACAGTCTTCGAGGGCCGTTCCTAAGGGCGTTGCGTATACGCCCAGTGGGATGGCATAACCCTTTTAATGCGCTTCCATATTTTACGCCGCCCACACAATTTGTATTCATCAGTCGTTGATTTCTGTGCAACGATTTCAGCTGTAATTAATTTTAATGCAAACATTTTTGCGGCTTGAGGCGGCATTTCATTTGTTCCCGTTTACCGCTTGATGTTGCTAATTTTTATGAGCATAATGATTGATTGATTGATGGATGGCTGAATGCCTGAAATGGTTGAAAGGGCCGGGGCGGGGGATGAATCCAAATGAATGCTGATGGTTCGGTTGAGTGAATTGCTTTTTGATAGATCACAAATATGTCAGCCGGGGTGAAAGGGGCCAAATCGGACCCAGTTCATTGTTCGCTGTTGCTGGGCGGACCGAATGGCAATGGAAATCGAAATGGAAATTCGATAAAAAGAGAGACAAACGAAAATAGAAACGAAATTTGGTTTATGAAGCGCAAAAACGGAACAACGACAACTCAAATTGGATTAACCTCATAACCCAAACTAAGCCTAAATATAAAAAAAATTAGAAGTACCATAAATGCAGCGGTAGAAATCTAATTTGAGTACCTATATAAAAAAGGATCTGTGGTAGGAAAATGGATTGTAAAGAAAATTAATTAATATGGAGTAAATAAATAAAAAAAAAAAATTGTTATTCCTGTTTAAATAAAATTTCTTTTACAATTATGTTTTTCAGCTTTCTTAAATAATCAGCTTTAACTCAGAAAAGCCTATTTTTTTCATTTGCTGTAACTATACTCGTTATTTCAGGCATTTCTCTTTGTCCCGATATCAAAATGATTTTGTTGAACTTTTTGGCTTTGGCCAAACAAATTGCAAATTTAATTTGAGCCGCAAAAAAGCGGAAGGGCGTCAGCAGCACATACAAATAATTGCCGCATGTGGCAGGGACTCAAAGGGAGTGCAGCTGCCACGGAATGCATTTGGTTTTGCCTCGCATAAAGTTAAACTCACATTTTTTGTGCGCCACGACGATCACAATAAATAAAACTCTTTTTCCAAAGGCAGAAGCATGAATAAATTTTGCACAGCGAATGGGTGGGAAAACTGAGACACATTTGACAAGTTCATAAATTATCACAGGCATGGCAAAAAAAAGTGTGTGTAATTTTTTTGATTGTTAAAAATTTTGCATTGAAAGCCATTGGCCTTCTTCCCCCTCCTCCACCTAAAAATTGTATTAAACACAATATAAAATGGCTGAGAACATTTCCATTTAAAATGGGGCGTGGCAGGCACTTGCAAGGCGGGAAATAAATAAAAGGAAAGTTTCGCCGGCGAAAAAAATGTAAAGCAGCGAATAAAAACTTGTGTTCGCCGCATACAAAGCAACAATAAAAACTCAACAAAGTGAGACACAACCACCGAAACTATCGCCAAGTCTAGTTATCCAGTTTTGTTAAAATGGGGAAAAACCCCAGAAATATGTAGTACAAACAAGGCTGGAGTTGGAAGTGGAAATAATGGCCAACGCGGTGTATGCACGATTTACATTTTTTATACTACAGTATGGCAATGGGGAAAAAGGGCTTTAAATTATACAAAAGATGTCGAAGATGGAGAAGGAGAGAAAAACATAGGCAACGGATTAAAAAAAGATTAAAAAAAGCGAAGCGAGGAGAACTGAAAATAGAAAAAAAGGATATTGGGAACCTACAAATCGCTTCCACCTTTAACTTTAAAACAGCATACGTTTTTCTTCTGACTTCTTAAAGCTTTGATTTTTTTGTGTAAAATGGCAGCACCTGATTTTATTTTTCTACTTCTCTCCCTTGTTTATTTAACTTCCATATACTATTGCTATTTATCACAACATTGCCCAACCCTTTTTTATCTTGCAAATCTGCTATTCTTTTTGCTCAACTTTGTGCGCCCGCTCGACTTCTTCATTTATCAATCATCCGACCCGCTGCACTTGGCTGACTTCATATGCAAATAGTTTGCCCTAAGTGAATATTTTCTAATGTGTTTTGCGTTTGCTACTGGGGGGGCTCCCCCTGGTCAAAAGGCTTTCAAGTAAAATGCATTTGCTCCCTGGGCCAGGCCATCTTTTTTCTTACCCGATCACATATACATACTCGTATAGCGATTTTTTGAGGGTCATTTTTCTTGGAGGCAAACCAAACTTCTTGCGCCCCATTTTTGCTGCTTCTCCTTTATTATCTCATAGAGTAAAAAATGAATCGGGCCCCACACACACACACACACACACACATCTCGATAGAGAGGGGATCGGAATGGGGAGTGTTGCCTATACGGCATACAATGAATAATGGAGGCCGGGGGTCCTGAGAAAGAGATGCCGTAGCTGAAGCGATGACAACTATAGAAAATATTATAAGGATATGCGACCATAAAGCAAAAGGAGACCATGAACAACGACCAGCGACAACGAACGACGCCGGGAAAGACAAATAAAAGAGAAATCGTTTATTGCAAAAGAGCCCATAAATTGATTTTTTCAAATAAAAATAAAATATCGACACACGAATGGGGAACCACCACCACCACCACCACCAGTACCACCACCACTACCACCACCACCAGCAGTACCATCCGAGAGTCAGACAGATAAAATAAGCCATCTACCATAAGGAGCTGGGTGGTTGGCGTTGGGCGGGTTTTCGGACTAAGTGAGATGCTGCCAAGATACACGACTCAATAGCCTGCTTGTGGTCCAAAAAGAAGCCGCCTCCAAGACGCCACGAAAGGGAGCAAAAAAATGAAGAGAAGAAATGGCCAGAAAGAGTGGGAGATAGTTGGGTAGAAAATACGTATACGTAGTGTGGGCAGACGGAGAAACATTGTCCTCGGCGTCTTTGTCGTCATCAGAGATTCGCCTACGTCCTTTTTGGCCAAGGTATATCTCTCTCCCTACCATTTCTCCTTTCCCCGCTCTCTCTCTCACCCCATTTAAGTTAAAAACTATTAGGAGGCTGCCTGAAAGCCACCCACTGTCGTAGTACATAAATTAGGTGAACCCACACACATTCACCAAGAACCAAAAAAAAAAAAAAAAAAAAAAAAAAAAATAAATAAATAGCAGGA